GCTGGGCGCCTTTGGGCGCTTCGAAGCGGGCGCCGTCGTCGTCTGGCCCTCGGCGCGGCCCGGGCCGGTGCACTGCGCGGCCCCGACCCCCTGGCCGGGCGCCTCCGTCTCTCCAGGTTTTCTCTCGGTGTCTCTGTGCCCCTCTGTACCTCGTGTCTGGCGTCTCGGTCCGCCCCTTGTCTCTCACCGTGCCTGTGACTCTGCATCTGTCTCTCCAGGTTTTCTCTCAGGGCCTGTGTCTCTCGGCGTCTCTGGTCCGTCTCTTTCGTTATCCACCCGCCCATCCACCCGCCCACCGATCCGTGCGTCCCTCGGTCCCTCTGTCCATCTCGCCATCCACCCATCACCCCTCCACCCACCGGTCTCCGCGCATCTCGCCTCCTCAGGTCTCCTCCGACTCCACATCCTGCGTCCCTGTCGCCGCCCGCTTTCCGCGGAGCAGCGTCGGTCGGGGTCCCTGGCCGCCGTCCCTGTCCGTCCCTCCGTCCCCACGCCCCGACTCCGTCCCAGCCTCACTATATCTCCCCGCCTCCCCGCTCGGCCCGCGTTCCTTGACCCCTGTCTCCTCGGCGCTCGAACCGATTTCGTTTTCTCAGAATCGGGGTTTTGTTCTCAAACGAACGAACCCGATCGAAGCCCCAGGGACCCAAAGGCCGGCGGTCGGGCGCGGTCGGAGCCCCGGGAGGGCGGCGAGCGGTGGGCCGCGGGGCCGGGTCGCCGTCGTCGGCCGGTGGTGACCGTGCCTCCCTCCGCAGGCGGACGCCGCGGGCATGGACTATTCGTACGACGAGGACCTGGACGAGCTATGCCCGGTGTGTGGGGACAAGGTGTCCGGCTACCACTACGGGCTGCTCACGTGCGAGAGCTGCAAGGTGAGCGGCGCGGGCGCGGGGCGGGGGGCGCGGGCGCGGGCCGGGCTGAGCGTCCTCTCCTCCCGCAGGGCTTCTTCAAGCGCACGGTGCAGAACAACAAGCACTACACGTGCACCGAGAGCCAGAGCTGCAAGATCGACAAGACGCAGCGCAAGCGCTGTCCCTTCTGCCGCTTCCAGAAGTGCCTGACGGTGGGGATGCGCCTGGAAGGTGCGCCCGGCCTGCAACCTCAGCCGGCCGGGGGAGGGAGCAGGGCCGGGAGAGGGGCTAAAAGAGGGTGCGGCTGGCCCGGGGCGAAGTTTCTGGGGCCGGGCGAGTGGCCCCCAGCGGCGGTGGGAACACTAGGGTCGGATCTTTTCCGGGAAGAGGGAGTGAGTCAAGGAACAGGGGCTGGCAGGGCCCAGGGCCTGCGGAACCAGCCTGGGTTAGACGAAGTACCCCGTATCAAACCCGGGGAGCGGCTTTCCATTGCCCAGAGGGGCCCCACCACAGGACAGAGCTCCGCACCCCAACATCCCCCGCCAACCAGAGCCAAAGCTTGAATCCCTTTACCAGGTCCGAGTCCCAGGGCCAGCGTGCACAGCCTGGGGGACGGTGGCAAGCTCCCTAACGTCTGTGACCCTCAGGTTCTCCATCTGGAAAAAAAATAATGGGCTTAAGGGTAGCGCCTGCCTGCCTGCTGTGGGGGTTCTTCACCACCGAGGGAAAGCTAGAAAAACTGAAGGTGCCCGGTCTGTAGTAGATACTGCCCAGCCTAGCTATTTTCATTAATTTTTTACCCACGTCTTTGTCCAGCCTGCCCATCTGTCTGTCTGTCCACTTGAAGCTTCCCTCTGTTCATTCGAGAGTAGTGGGTGAGATTCCTTCCTGTTCTCAGCCAGGCCCTGGGCAGGTCGGGAGTGGGGAATTATCACTGCCAGGGACCCAGGCCACCTCTGCCTCCTGCCCAGCGGGAGGGGGGCATCGGGAGAGACCTCACTTCTCTGAGGGTGGATGACAACCTCCACCGGCTGCTCCTGCCCACAGCTGTTAGCTAAAGTTTTGGGGGTTTGGGCTCAAGTTTTTGAATAACAGAGAAGGGCTTCTGAGGGCCCTGCACCTGGAGCAGTGTCTATGGATGGGGGGGACACCCTGGCCTGTCCCCAGAGCTCACATCCCTATGTCCTGAGCGGCCAGAAAAGCCAGTGGTGGCCCGAAGGTGTGTCACAGCGGCTCCAGCCTTCGCATCTCTCCTGTTGTCGCTGCCTTCCTCCGGAGTGGCCCTGCAGAGATGCACCTGTTGGGGCAGCCTACTGACACATCCTTGGCCAGGCAGAGGGGGGTCTGGTCAGTGAGGGAGGTTTGCTTCTCCAGCACAAAGCAACTACCAGCCCTGAGTTCTGCTTCATACCGATGCCAGTGCCATTCTGTAACGGGTTCAGAGTCAGGCAGTCAGCTGGTAACCAGCTGGATACTGGGCACCCTCTTTGAACAAAGCTGACCAGGACCCTATTCCTTCCACCATGTCCCTCCCGGGTCCCGTCATCTGTACCCAAAGCTGAGCACCAGGAGCTCTCAGCTGGCCACCTAAAGGAGGAACGCTGCAGGGGAGGGCATGATTCACTCAGTAAGACACTGGGGGCAAAGACTGTAAATTCTGCCTGGGTCAATCCAGGAATGCTTCCTGGAGGTGGTAACACTGAGGCACAAAAGAAGAAAATGGGTTTGTGAGAGAAGAAATATCAAAGGCAGGGTAGAAGAGGAAGAGGTGCCAGGCAGAGGAGAGAGTGAGTCGGGGAGGGAAAGGGCCCCAGGTCTCACTAGGGAGAACCTGGAAAGTGGAGCAGGACCTTGAATGCCAGGCTAAGGAGATGTACCTCACTGGGGCAGTGGGAACAGGGGAGTGGCACGGGTCTGTCTGGGAAGATCTGCGGCAGGGCAGTGTGGAAATTAAGCCTGACCCTTTGCTTCTGCCCACAGCCGTGCGTGCTGACCGCATGCGAGGCGGCCGGAATAAGTTTGGGCCCATGTACAAGCGGGACCGGGCGCTGAAGCAGCAAAAGAAAGCACAGATTCGCGCCAACAGCTTCAAGCTGGAGACAGGCCCCCCGATGGGGGTGCCCCCACCTCCCCCACCCCCTCCGGACTACATGCTGCCCCCCAACCTGCATGCGCCCGAGCCCAAGGGCCTGGCATCCGGTCCACCCACTGGACCACTGGGCGACTTTGGAGCCCCGGCATTGCCTATGGCAGTGCCTGGCACCCACGGGCCACTGGCTGGTTACCTCTACCCTGCCTTCCCTGGCCGGGCCATCAAGTCTGAGTACCCGGAGCCCTATGCCAGCCCCCCGCAGCCTGGGCCCCCCTACGGCTACCCAGAGCCCTTCTCCAGCGGCCCGAGTGTGCCGGAGCTCATCCTGCAGCTGTTGCAGCTGGAGCCCGACGAGGACCAGGTGCGGGCTCGCATCGTGGGCTGCCTGCAGGAGCCGGCCAAGGGCCGCCCCGACCAGCCCGCGCCCTTCAGCCTGCTGTGCAGGATGGCGGACCAGACCTTCATCTCCATCGTGGACTGGGCGCGCCGCTGCATGGTGTTCAAGGAGCTGGAGGTGAGTCCTCCTCCCGCTGCTCGGCCCGCTCCGCGAGCCCTCTCCGCTGCCCGCACTCTGCTGCAGCCACCTGTGGATGGGCCGCCCTGCCCGACCCGACTGCGGGTTCAGGAGGTGCCGGGACAGGGGGCTACCAGGACGCTAAGGAGTCTTTCTGGTCCATTTCGCAGCCTCCCAGGTGCCCCGCCGGCCCCTGCCCACTCCTCTTTCTCCCGCTCCCTGTCTTTCTGGAGTCTCTGCCTCGCTGCCTCTGCTTCTTTGATCTCTGCCTCTGTCTCTGCTGGTTGTCTCCTCCCCACCCCTTTGCTTGTCTCTGCTTCTGGTTGTATTTTGTTTTGGTATTGGGATTGCACCGAGCTATGTCCCCAACTCCTTTGATTTTGAGACAGGTTCTCACTTAGTCACTAAGTTGTCCAGGATTGACTCAAATTTGCTTGTGATCCTCCTGCCTCACCCTACCGGAGAGCGGGGGTGGGCAGCGTGTGCCACCTCGCCTGGCTTGCTTCTGGGTTTTCCTATAGGCTGTGTTTCTCTCCTGGTCTGGGTCTCTGTAGGCTTTCCCCTCTTTTTTTTGAAACTGTGGGCTCCCTGAAAGAACTGCCTGGGTCTTGCCTTATCCATCAAAACCCCAGCGCAATGTCGGGAAGGGTCCAGCCCACCTTTTCCTCCCATTCAGGGAGGCTGCTGATCCCTGCCAGCCTCAGAGACTGGCCTCTTGGTCTGAGTCTGGGACATGTATGGGCTTCCTCCTCCCCGCCTAGGGTGAAAAATCTCACCGGCTGGTGCCATCTTTGATGTAGTTGCTTCAGTGTGTGTGAGTGTGTGTGTGTGTGTGTGTGTGTGTGTGTCTATGTGCTCATTTGTGTGCAGTGGGAGCTGGGTGGCCAGATGAAGCAGCCTCTTCTACCTCAAAGCCTTTTTCCTTTGGGGTTAAGGTGCCTGAGGCTACTGTAAGCAGGACAGCAGGAAGAGAAACTGAGGCCAGACCTAGGGAAGAACTTTCCATCCTCTTGCCCAGAAGAGCAGAGACCCAGAGACTCGTGAGCTTCCCCTTCAGTGCCCTGGCTCCCTGTAAGGCCTCCCTAGCGATCCTGAACCCCTGGCCAAGGCCCATTGACCTGGCCTGGTGCAGTCATGAGCCCAGGCCCAGCAGCTTTGCCTTTCCCAGAGCAGCTGCCCTGGCTGTTCCGAGCTGCTGTAAGCAGCATTGTAGGTATTGATGCCAGCCAGGGCTTCCTCTGGGTACACTGCCAGATGGGCCAGCAGCCTTGCCCACCCTGGTTGGCAGGGAAGGGGAGCAAGGTGGGCCTCTGAGCTCTAGGGCACTGCACACACATGAGCACATAGACACACACACACACAGCAGGGGATTCTGGGAGCTGGGCACTACTGGCGGTGGCTTCAGCTCTATTGTGGAGGACCTGTCATGGCTGACGCTGGGGACGCATGCGTGTCTACACTCCAGGCCCCTCCCACTGGCCCTCTCTGGGCCCACCTTACGGATGGGGCAGAAGGCAGGCGTTGGATGGTCCCCTGCCTTCTATCCTACTTGGGCTGAGGACCCCAAGGCCCATGGGTTGGTTGCCAGCTTTCCCTGCTGACTTCCTATGGAGGCCCTGTGCAAAGGGGAGGAGCAACAGGCCATTCCTAGGCTCCAGACCCTGGACACAGAGGCAGGGCACTTCCTCTGGCTGCCTTCCTGGTGTCTCGGGGTTTCACACAGGATGGGAAGGGCTTTTTTCCTGAGTGTGCTGAGTGTTTTTTCCTGCTCTGGCTTCTCTGTGGCCCAAACCTTCCTGCTTCCCCTTCCCAGAACCTCTCCTGCACGGAGCCCAGACCTATAAGCCACTGTCTCCACCTTGGTAAAGGAGCCTTGCAGATAAGCACCAGCCCAGCCTCCACAGCGCCTCTTGTGGCCATGTGGATGTTCTTTTCCCCTGGCCCAATGGGTCCTGGGGAAGTGTCTGCTTGCAGAGCCCATGGGGAGGGTGGAGAAAGGCAGCAGGGCTCTGGGTGACACTGTTCTCCACTTGGACCCACCATCCAAGTCCCCTCTTCCAGCTGGGTCTCAGCAGACAAGAGAGAGAAACTGTCCAGCTCACACAAGGCAGCCCTGGGCGGGGTGCTGAGGACACTGGGATAAGCTGGACCCAGGAAGCTGCCAGGCTAGAGCAGAAGACAGACGTGCACAGGTGATGCCAGTGTAGGGTGCCCAGGCTCTGAGAGCAGTGGGAGGGGAGAGGGAGCCCAGTGGTACTGAGAGGAGATCGGGGCACTCCAGGCAGTGGGAAGAGCACAAATGGGGACCCAGAAATGGTGGCCCTGGGAGGCAGCCTGGACAGTTGGTGGGGACAGCGTGGAGCAGGAGTGGGCCTAGGCAGAGGGTGATGAGACCCTGTGCTCTCTGCAGGGGCCCATCCGGCCCTCCCTGGTGCCCGTGACATCTTGCCACTCAGGGCAGGGCAGGCTGGGGTCTTAGCTGGGCCCTTGGGGATGTGTCGGACCCCAGCCCCGGGTTCCGCTGGGGCCTTTCCCTGCTCTGTCCTCTTCCCCAGCTCGGTTGGCTTTCCCTCTGTCTCCATGTCCCCACCTCCCACAGTCAGAGCGCTTCTGTGACCGCGGCGTAGAAGTGAATCCCAAAGACCAGAGTCAGGCAGCCCTGGTATCAGGTTCCACCTCTGCTACTTAGAAGCCATGTGACACTGGGCAAGGGACTTTGTACCTCAGAGCCTCAGTTTTCACATGTAGAAAATGGGAGGAATTTGAATAACGTCTACTCCTGGGGTTGTTTTGAGGGTTTTGTGAGCTAGGAAGGGCCAGGAACAGCATGGGGCGCCCAGGAAGTCCCCTCAGTCGGTGGCCTGTGCGTCCCCTCTGCACCCTCCCATCAGTGTACACCTGCGGGCTGTGTCCAGGCCTGGCTGGGAAGAGAGCAGACAGAGGGTCACAGCCCCCCATAAACCTGGGCCCTCGTCACCCTGGGCTCCTGCAGCAACATGTCAGAAACCCGCCTTTCCCTGCTGCTCAGCAGGGCAAGGGGCAGGGGCCAGAGGCAGTCTGCCTCTCTGGACAGTTTCGGAAAGGGCAGGTCAGGAGGAGGGAGGACAGGGTTGCCGGGGAGGGGAGGTACCTAATGGCCCATCTTGACATTGCTCACCCTCGGTGTCTCCTTGGAGGCCCCTGCTGGTAACAGATCTAATTCTCTAGCTCCACGGACTCCTTTAGGTATAGTAACTCTGTCAGTCCCGGGCTGACAAACGATGGCCCTACTACACTCACCCAGGGACAGCCCGTGGCGTGTCAGCCCGTGGAGAATTACTGAGCCCCTGGCCTTCAGCTGCCAGATGGATGAGACCCCAGGGGCTTTGGACAGGGCTGGGGGAGAGGTCAGCGCAGCACCCATAAATACCCCACCGGACGCAGGCTGCAGAGTCCAGGCTCCGGGGAGATTTGTGGCCGTCCTGTGGGAGGGGTGGGCCAGGCTGGCAGGGCCGCCATGGCATGGACTGAAAATGTCCTTGCTCCCAGGGTGCCAGGGGCCTGAGGGCAGGGAGGAGTAGGGAGAAACATTTGGGAGGAAGAGACCAGCCCTCTGGGGCTCAGCAGGGCTTGGGTCACCCACTTTCCAGTGGAGATGGCTAGCAGCGACAGCCCTCTGGGTTTCTTTTAAGTAAAAAGGTGTGTGTGTGTGTGTGTGTGTGTACGCATGTGCACAGTGCCCACCGTTTTCGGTATCTGTGTGCCCACCTGCCCATCCCAGAAGCAGCTGAACTCTGGCAGTAAAGTTTGCCCAGGTGATGGTGGGGTCAGCGTCCCGGGAGCGCCGAGCACAGGTCCACAGCACCCTTGCTGACTGGCACCGTATGTCTCTATGTTTTCTGTCGCCCAGCGAGGGAGGGATAAGCTCTCCCATCGTGCAGAGCAGGCAGTGAGGGCAAGGAGGGCATGGGGCTGCCTGGGGGCTCACACAGGGCACAGCGTCCGAGCGCGGGCACTGCCCTGCAGTTCTTTGCCACGGCCGCCCTGAGGTCCGGGACAGCGTCCGCTCCCGGGCTGGGCCAGCCGGGTCACTGTGACCCCTCTGCTTCTGCCTAAGCTCAGCCTGCTTATCTCCTAATTCCCCCTTATCTCTCCTCTCCCACCCCTTCCTCCAAGCTGGGCACAGGGTGTCTGCTCTCCGGGGCTCGCCATGGGTGAGGGGCGCCCCACGCAGCCTCTGTCTGGGGCGCACAAGGTGGGCCTCAGTTTTCCTTGCCAACGCTGAGCTCTGGGCAGGCGCCTGTCACCTGGGGGACATCTGGCTGAGTGTCGTGTTAGGTGAGCGGTAGGTTGCGGGAGGCACAGACTCCCAAGGGTAGGTGTGCCCTGTGCCCTACTCCTTCCTAGTGGAGAGGCTCCCGCCTCAGCTGCATGGGTGTGGGAGAGACCAGCTGGGGCACAGCCTGGTCCCTGGCCGGGTTTCTGTTTGACAGCAGTGGAGCTCTAGGGCAGGGAGAGGTGGTGGTGAGGTGGGATGGATGGGACACTTTCCCTCTGTTCTTGGCTGGTCTGGCCAGGTAAGCTGAGGCAGGCATACTCTGGCTGTGGGTCCAACTGCTTACTTTTCACTTGATCTCCTTCTTGCTCCTCCCAGGCACAGACCCCAGGAACTCCCGGGGGAGCATCTGTCCTCTAGAAGATAGAGCATTTTTGAGACCTGGACGAGGTTCCCTGGGGCTGGGGACTGCCTCACTGCTGGGTCTCAGGGCTGGTGAGGGAGTGGCTGTCCTGCCAAATTGTGTTTGTTCATCAGCCTCCTGGGGGGCTTCCTGGAGGAGGTAATGGGCCTGGAGGAGACGGTGATCTCCTGGATGACTGGAAAGGTGGGACTAGGTCTTTTGTTCCACTCTTAGTGGTAAAGAGCATGGATCTGCAGCCAGACAATGCTGTGTGAACTTGGAGAAATTCCTTGGCCTCTCTGTGCTCTCTATAAAGTGACCGATAACCAACCCCACAGTGTTGTAGGGCTGCGGTGCAAGGACTGCTACCCCACACATTTGCCTCTCCCCGGGGCTGGCTGTGACTGTGGGTGCTGAGAGGGGCCACGTCTGCCCTGCGGCTTCCTGCGAAGACTTGCGATGCCCAGATTCCTCTGAACACCCGGAAAAGCTTAGTTCGTCCCTCAAAATTATGGACTCACAGTGCCAGCCATGCCCTGGCCTGGCTCTGCCGCAGTCACTGGCCCTCTCCGGGCAGCACATTCTTCAACTGAAAAGGAAAGGTTCAGGCAGGGAGTTCCTGGCTCTCTGTGGTTCTGGGTATGATTTGCCATTGTCACAAGTTTCCACCCCTGTTGGATGTGGTAACACACAGCTGTAATCCCAGCACTCAGGAGGCTGAGGCAGGAGGATTGCCCCGAGTTTCATGCCAGCCTGGGCTGCATAGTGAAGCTCAAGGCCAGCCTGAATTACAGAGTGAAACACGGCCTCAAAAAGATGGCCACTCTGGCTGTGTGAGAATGCAGTCACCCCGCAGGGCCCCAGGACACTCACACAGGGGCTTTCCCCACCCCTCACTGGGTGTCCTCTGTACCCGGGTCTTCAGACTCTGCCCCTTGTCACTGTCGTGTTCCTGCTTCAGACGTCGGGCCACTGCCCTCCGCTGTCCACCCCTGTTCTGCCCATGGGCCAGGCAGGCCTTCCTGTCCTCTCTGGACCTGAAATCTCTCTCGGAGGCCCAGGGGAGCCCTCTGTGTGTCCCTCAAATTCATGCCTCCTTTTGGAGGGGTCGTGGCTGCCAGAGTTGTGACCCATGGTGCAGACCAAGTGCGCGCCATGTGCACCGAGCGCTTCCTGAGCGCCTAGCAGCGGGCATGGGGCCCGCGTGCTGAGTGCAGAGAGGTTGGGGGCTCTCTCGGCTCACACACTTGGGAAGGGCCAGGCACATGGGAGCCCCAAGCACCTCAGGTGCCCCTGTCCTTGTTTCACCAGCCTCCTGCCGCACTTGATGAAGTGGGCAAAGGGGCAGACAGGGCACAGGGGGCGGCCACTCGCCTGAGCTGCACACCAGGCTGTCCTGAGTTGTATGCTGAGGGCGGAGGGGAGGGGGGCAGTCTCCAGCTGGACCCTGCATGGCTCTTCCCCGCAGGTGGCCGACCAGATGACCCTGCTACAGAACTGCTGGAGCGAGCTGCTGGTGTTTGACCACATCTACCGCCAGGTCCAGTACGGCAAGGAGGGCAGCATCCTGCTGGTCACCGGGCAGGAGGTGACCAAGCCTGCTTCCGGAATTCCCAGCTCTGACTCGGTCCCGAGACTGCCCCAGGCTGGCTGTGGGTGTCCTGAATTCCTTGAGCCCAGAAGACATCCACAGCCAAACCTCTGCGTGGCCAGCACTGGCCTGGGGGCCTCCTGCAGTGTGGGGTGATCAGGGAGGCCCTTGGGGGGCCTTGGGTCTCCTAAGAATGGATCCAAAAGAAAAATCAGAGTTTGTAGGATCATGAGAGGTGACACATGGTGAGGAAAGCAGAGCCAAGGCTCTGAGAGGGGTTCAGATGGCTGCTGGGGCCCAGGGGTGGGGTCAGGTAAAAGACGAGGCTGCAGGGCTGGCTGGGGTTAGCAGGCGGGAGCTCTCGAATGCGTGCATGAATGAATGAGTGAGCGGGCAGGAGGCTCCACGGCGCTCAGGGTGGGCATCGGGCCCCTTAGGGCAGGGAGTATGGAAGAACGGGGTGGGGGCCGTGGGAGGAGGCAGGAGCGGGCAGCGCCGGCTCGGAATGGGGGTGCTGGGGGAACACCTATGGGGAGGGGTCCCCACTGGCTAGTGGGTGTGCTGGGAAAAGAGAGGGCGGTGGTGGAGACCAGGCTGTACCCTGATGGGAGGAGGCGGAGGCTCTTTTCCCCGCCCCCCATCTTTATTGTCACTTCTCACCCTGGTGGCTCAGGCCATAGGGGGCAGGGGGCGGGGACTGGGACACTGGCCCCAGGAGAGTAACTTTCGGGCACTCGCAGTGCCAGCGCCGGGAGTCCCACGCTCGGGTCAAAGCCCCTGTGCCACACAGATGGCCACGCACACAGCTGTGTTTCGCTGTGTGGATCTCTGCACACGCAGGGGTGTGAGTGTCACCACACAAGCGGCATGCACATGTGTTGCTGGATGACCAAGGGCGGTAGGGGTGTGCGCAGACACGTGTGCCCTGCTGCATGGAGCAGCGACAGCCCCGTGGACATGTCTGTGCATGCATGTGAGCTGTGACCAGGTGTTGTGATCCAGCGTGCAGCCAGAGGTCCTCTGTCCTGCTGGGCCTTGTGGCGGTCAGCTCCCCCAAGGTGCCCACCTGCCTGGTGTCACCTGCTGCCGCCCGCGGGGAGAGCCCGGAGGGGCCCTTAGCAGGGTGGTCTGGACCGGCTGCGGGGCTCGGGGCACCCTGGATGTCAGGGCCCTGATTGGAGCTTCCTGCTGTGCCTCGGGCTCGAGCCCCTCTCCTGGCACCAGGCCCCTGACCCACTCCCTCTGGCTGCCTAGGTGGAGCTGAGCGTGGTGGCTGCCCAGGCTGGCTCGCTGCTGCACAGCCTGGTGCTGCGGGCGCAGGAGCTGGTCCTGCAGCTGCACGCGCTGCAGCTGGACCGCCAGGAGTTCGTCTGCCTCAAGTTCCTCATTCTCCTCAGCCTCGGTGAGTGGGCTCCGAGCCAGGGGTGGGCAGGACTCCTCCTGCAGTGGGCAGAATGTGAGGGCTGCCGCCTGCCCGAGCTCAGGACCTTGGTGTGGTGACCCCCAGGGCCTGGGCACCGTCTGAGACTTGCCCTGCATGGAGTGTGGGGTGTGGGGCCAGGAGCCCTCCTGAGAATCCACCCCAGATCGTCCTGCCCCCCACAGAACTTGCTTCTCTTCCCTGCTTTCCCTAATCCCTGATCCACAGGGACCCACCTTCTGATTCTGAGCCCTTTGGGACCCTGACCCCTTTGCCCACTCATCCATCCATCCATCCGTCCATCCATCCATCCATCCATCCATCCATCCATCCATCTATCCATCCATCCATCTATCCATCCATCCATCCATCCATTCATTAATTCATCCATTCATTCATCCTGCAAACATTTGTGAGGATCCGCACCTGGGGGAGGACATGGACAGAAAGACCCCACCTCCCTGCCTCTCAGAGCTCTGTGCGCCCAGGGACGTTCAGGGCTTGGTGAAAGGCATGGCCAGGAAGAGGGTGACGAGGGAGAGGAAGGAAAAGAAAGCAGGGCACCAGGAGAGGGTGAGCCCGGCCCACCTGTTGGATCCTCCCCATGCCCTCTGCCCCCCCCAGCCTGCACCCCTCAAGTCTCCAGGCTCCCTGTGGGCTCAGCATCCAGCCAACCATTGCCCGCGCTTCCTCTGCGCCCAGTGAAGCTGCACACAAGGGCTGTTCCTTGCTTCCAGGTGCTTTCTGTTCGGGGGAGACCGGCATCCCTGGGGCCAGGGCTGGTATAGAGAGGTGGGTGTGGCTCAGGCGACTAGGGTGAGGACCAAGGGCTTTGCTTGGAACGCTTCCTAGAAGAAGGCTATTTGAGCAGGGTCCCACAGGATAAGTAGGAGTTCTCTGGGTAGGCGAAGTCTTACAGCAGAGGAGCAGTATGGGACAGCAGGTTGGAGCAGAGGAGAAGGGAGTCAAGCAGAATGTGGGAATCCCGTGTGGCGGGGCTGGGGACAGAGGGTGGGTCTCCTGACTGGCAGGGCGAGCTGCCTCTTGACACCTGCAGGACCTGAAGAGGTGGCGGAGCATGGCCGCTGCGGGAAGGGTCGGAGCTCAGGGCCCAGCAGGCTGAGGCCCGGAGAGGCTGCCCCCGCCTGTGCCTGAACCCCACGCAGAGCAGAGCTGCAGGCCACGTGGCTGGGTCCCTGTGGGCTGTCGTGTGGAGCCTGCTGGGTCACGTGTGCGTCTCCGCGTGCGTCCATGTGCTGTGCGTGCACGCTGAGTTTTCGTGGGTCACATCATGTGCAGAATTGGTGTGCTGCTGGGGCTGACAGGAGACGGGGAATGTTTGGGGTTTAAAGGGGTGGGTGGCGGTGCTTGCAGGTGCATGGAATTGGGGTGTGGAATCTGAGTGTCTTGGGGCATAGACTGTTGTCTTTTTTTTTTTTTCTGGTATAGGGATAGAACGCAGAGCCCTTGCACTGAGCTCTATCCCAGCTCTTTAATTTTTTTTTAGTTTTGAGATAGGGTCTCTCTAAGTTGAGATAGGGTCTCACTAAGTTGCTAAATCACCCAGGCTGGGCTGAAACTTGCCATCCTCCTGCCTCAGCCTCCCACAGTGCTGGGGTTACAGGCATGCGCCTGCACACCTGGCTTGGGTCATAGTTCTTGACCTGACTCTGTCAGAGGCCCCTGGGAGGGTCTGGGGAGGGGTTAGTGGGAGAGGGCCCCATCCAGGCTTGGGCAGCCCCTGAAGAGCCCCTACCCTCTTCCTCCAACCCCTGGCACTTGGGAGTGACAGGCCCAGCCTGGCGCTGGCCGCCCCACGGGGAACCCCAGGCCCTTGGTGGCTTGCATTTGCATGCGTGTGCACCCAGGCCAGGGTGAGCAGCAGCAAGGGTGGGCACAGGGATGGCCTCCTGGATTCCAGCTCTGCTCTCTCTGTCTTTGTACCTCCCACTCCGCCTCGACTTGCCCATCTGTAAAATGACCACCGTAGTGGCCCTTATCTCCCTGTAAAGGAGGTCATGGGAGAACTGGCCACCTGGCCTGTGCCCTCTGGGGTGTATACTGGTGTGGTTGGCACCATCATCCTTATTAAGCTGAAGGCAGCCAGCCCGTGGGCATGGGCTCCATCTTTGCAATGCACCGTCTGCCCGGCTGGGTGAGCAGTCCAGAGATCTGGTGAGCTTGGGCTGTCAGGGGGCCTGGACCCACTTGAGCAGTGAGAGAGGAGGCTCTGGAGCAGAGGCCTTTGGAGGGCAGGTTCCAGGTTGGGTGGGAACCTGAACAGGCCAGGAGGATCAGCATGGGGCCACCTCCACCGCAACTGTCCAGTGGGGCTTCTCCGATGAGGTACATCTAAGCTGGGTGTTGCAGTATGAATAGAAGTGTTCTGTGTAAAACAAAGCCAGCAGCGGCATTAAAGGCTGCTTGAACCTGACCAGAGACACAGTTTGCGCAAGGTGCTGGGCAATCCTGAAAGCTCAGTGCGGGGGAGGGGCGGGAGGTGGCTTGGCTGAGCTGTGCCAGGCCTTGAACGCCAGGCCAAGTTCCTTGAACCTTCCCTGGGGACGGACCGGAAGTTAGAGCAACAGGATCAGATTTGCATTTTATCAGAGCACTCCCGACTGTGGCTGTCGCCTGCGTAGAGGACAGCAGGAGGGGAAGGGAAGCCAACCCGGGCCTGGGGTGACCAGGACAATTTGAGTCTAGAACTCAGTGCTCCTCCCACGATCCCAACGGGGCCACCAGGGCCGGGCTTCGAGGAACCGGGGGCCCAGAGAGGGACGGCCGCGAGCCTGGGACCTCGAGCTGGTGGGTCAGGTGCCACCTCGGGCAGGCGGCACCTCCCAGGCTCGGGCAGCCTGAACGCGCACGCCGCCTGTCGCCCACCCAGCCCGCCGCCCTGTGCGCTCCTCCTCCTCCTGCTCCCGCTCCCCGCTGCCTCTGCAGAAGGGTGCCATTTGGCGTCTAAATAGCCGTCTCAGGCGGGCTGGGAGGCAGGTAAGGAGGTTTAATTAAAATTAGTGCCTCTCTCCTGGCAATCGCGGTGTTTATGAAGATGGGCCTGGCGGGCATTGTTCCGCCGAGGACTTAATCGAAGCTTAATGGATTGACCTAACATTCGATTTCCTGATTTCCATTGAGGCGCCGCGGCAGCATTCCCTTAAGCGTTTGCAATTTACCCGCTGCTCCCCGCCAACAAAAGGCGGCCTCAATAGCAGCGGCACTCGAGGGGCCATTGTATGCGGGGGCGCCTGCCTGAGTCACCGCTATTGGGACAACATTCTTTATGCCTCGCTGGAATGAAATGATTATTCAAATATTCAATTAAACCGTGAAAAGGGGGCTTTTCTGAGATCCCGGGGGCCCCAGAGCTCTGCAGCGCTGGCTGGCGGGCGGCTCCCTGAGGTGGGGGTGTCATCGCTCGGCCCCGCCCGCTGCCCACCTCTGGGACTTGGGGCGCTGAGCAGGCTGGGGACACAGGCGGCTCCTCCACGCAGTCCGCCCCGCAGCGCCAGCGGCCCCGAGCTGGGCACATGGGGTAGGTCCAGCGCTCTGCCGCCCTCTGGGGCACAGACTCGTTTGCCCCCATGTTGCAGATGGTGGGAGACAGAGGTAGCACGGGAAGAGAGACGTGCGCAGGGTCACTCCGCTGGTGGTAGAGCAGGGGTTGGAAGCCCCGGCACATTAAGAGAGCATCTCCAGGTCTTTCTGAGCCCAGCCCTGTGTCTAAGGAAAGATGGGCAGGCACCCGATGGCCGGGACATCCCTGTTCCTTAGAATCTGCACAACGTGCTCCCGACGACCCAGGATCTCAAGGTGAGGGAGTGGCATCGAGTCTGAAGCCCAGAGCAGCCTCTCAGGCGGACCTGGGACCCCAGGCGTGGGTCGGATGGAACATGAATCCCGTGCCCAGGCGTGGCTGAACCGGCACCAGTGGCCAGCCGGGCTCATCCCCTTGGTGGGCTTAGGCTTTGGAGCGCGGGGGACCTGGTCCCAGCAGGCTGGGTCCCCTGGGTCGCACAGGCCTGCCCGGGCACTCTGAGCCTCGCATGCCTGCCTGCCTGCCACCCCAGCGTCCGTGGGTATTAACTGGGGGGTGCAGGTGTCTAGTGGGTGGCGGGGAGACTGGATCCCGCCTCTGGGGTGGAAGCCGCCGGACTGTACCTGTGTCCCCCACCTTGTGGCTGACTTCAGGGGGCCATGGGGTCTCAGTCTGTGGGGAGCCGGGAACAGAGGGCTGCCGGGGGTCTGTCCCTGAAACCTGCCCTTGTCCGGCACCCCACCCGCCATCCCTGGCACGCCGCTGCTGAGAACAGTAAATCCTGGTAAAGCCGAGGCCCTGGGCCCCCCCAGCCCCGCCCTCCCCTGCTCTACAGCAGCTTCTAGCCGGTCCTCCCACCCCCGCTCTTCCTCTTGGCCCCTTTGCTGCTCTGTGGCCTTGAGCTGATCCCTGTCCTTCTCTGGTCTTCCATGGTGAGCTGTCAGGAGCTGGTAGTGTTCGGACACTTGCCTAGCCCCAGGGATTGTGGGAAGCGAGGACAGAAGGGACAGGATTGTGATGTGGAGAGGCTGGGCCCGGGATGGAGCCAATAGACACCTCTTGCTTCCAGGAGTCCAGGCAGGTGAGGTAACTTCCCAAGACTTCCCTTTGAATGTGTCAAGCTGGCCAGCCAAGCAAGGAGGGCCGCTACATACAGTTAACTGGGTTGTTCACTGCACAAGCACTCCAAGGCAGAGAAGGGCTGGGTGCTGAAATCTAGCTGTATCTCTGCAGACAAGGGGGAAATTCTCATTGGTACAAAGGTGCCTTGCTGGCTCATGGTGACCCTGGAGCGAAAGGAAAACGACCTGGCTCCCTTACTCAAGGGAGGGTGAGGAGGCCGCCATATGACCTGGGCCCAGCTCAGGTTTCCCTAAATCCAACTTTGGACAACACAGGCGTCCACGGGCGCACTGGGGGCGGCCGGGGATCAGGGTTGCCAGGGGCGCCAAGCTTTCCTGGCGCAGTGGGTGTTAGGAGGGATTAGGGAGCAGGGGCTCCCCGCAGCAGCAGGCCCAGGCTTTGGGTGGAGGGAGAGGCCTAGAAGACCACTTTCTGAGCCCTTGGAAGCCACATCCCCCGGGAAGCCAAGCTGGGACCAGGCCAGGGGCAGATTTTGTGGGTTCCTGCTGGGCAGGGCACGGGCCGGAAATGCAGTCTAGGAGTTGGGAGGCCTGAAAGGTGCAACAAGGACTTGGGTGACAAGAAGCCGGTGCCCACTCCCTGCCTCTACCTCTTCCTCCTAGAGGAGGAGGGCCTTGGGGTCAGAGGGGCCAGGTATCAACAGGGTCACTGCTCCTCAGTGATGGCTGGAATCTGGATGCCCATCGGTGTGGTGATTTCACACCGAAGGTACTTGGGTATTTTTTGGTTTATTGGTTGGTTGGTTTTTGAGATAGGGTCTTCCTATGTAGCTCAGACTGGCCTGGAACTCACTATGTAAGCCCGGGCTGGCCTCCAATTGAATTTGCCGGGATGCTCCTGCCTCAGCCTCCCAGGTGCTGGGGTTACAGGTGTGCACCACCACGCCGGGCTCACTTCTGGGTCGTGAGTGGACTCCGGGGTAGGATGAGCTCCTCGTGCCCCTCCATCCGCAGCAGGAGTGGTTGCTGGGCCACGTACAGCCAGTGCCCTTGTCCCTCCCACTGGGAACCGTTCTTTCATATCTTTTTTTTCCCCCGTTCTTTCATATCTGCCGGCATCTTCCATAATGATCTGCCTCACGTACCAGCTTTTTAGATTTGAATTTTTTTTTTCTTTTCTTTTTTTGGCTTTTTTCTGGTACCGGGAATCGAACTCACGACCTTGCGCTTGCCAGGCAGGCGCTGTGCCGCTGAGCTCAATCCCCAGCCCTAGATTTGAATTTTATTTTTCATGGTCCTGGGCATGGAACCCAGCGTCTCCCACACCAGGCCCAGCTCTTACCGACTGGCCTCACCTTGCACCCTGCGTGGTTCACCCCAGGGCACGACCTCCACCGTCAGTCCAGGTCTCACCCTCAGCAGCTGGAGCCCTGCCGTGGGGAACACCGTGTCCCCCATGGCCCGAGAGGTGGGGCGCGGAGCTCT